ATCTCCATCTTTGCTTGTTTGTGTTCTTCTTTGTATATGTTCTTCTTTGTATATCCAAGGAAGAGGGGTCTTTCTGGCAGATTTCAGCTAGAGAGGGAAGGGGCATTTCACTCCCGTGTGAGTCATTCTGCCGTGTGTGTAATCCGATTTCTCAACTTCTTCAAGTCTGTTTCAAAACATTATGAGCATGTATAGTAGCTCAGGTGGTAAATATGAAATATTCATATACAGTCTTTTATTGTACCTGTTAAAGAGAAATAATACATGCCTATTATTTCCTTAACATAAACGTTTTATTAATAATGTACATCCACTTTATGTGATCTCATTTTTTAATATCATTTTTGTTTGTATTGACCGTAGTGGGTGTGTATAAGAATTTGTGGATAGAAAGTATCAGTAGGTTTCTATTTTCTCTATTTGAAATGATGGATGTGTGATTAGGGGTATGGCGAGAATGTTTTGTTTCTTTTGCGAAAACCATTTGGCTTTGAAGGGTAACATTCTCACAGATTTGGTAGGTGTGTACTATATAGGTGTTTATCCTGTATAGGTATTTACTACCTCTCAAAGAGCTTACCACAACTATTCCTGACAATGTTGCCTCCTTTCTTTCTCCCCAGAAGGTGGCATCTTATTTGTTCAGACATCATCCAGGTTCAGCATCTACATCTGCAACAAGATGCAGTACTGTAATGTGAACCTCTGGGTTAGAAAACCTAATAAAAGCCTGTTTTATTTGATATTCCTATACCCTAGATATCAGTGCAGTTACACTTGGAGCTCATTCACACCACAAAATGTGTTTTGACATGTGTTGCAAGGCCACCCATTCAGTTTATATAGACCCACAATGTGTCCTGTACCATATTTTCCATCCACAGGACATTTGCTACAGCAGGGATGGCAATGAACATATATCGTGCTAACCACGTGTTGCAGTAATAATCTCGTGCCTTGTTATTGATGCCTCGGTCACACCACCCTCAGTGCTTTCCGGCCCGATTGTGGCCAGAACGCACCGGCTCAGTTTGTTGTGGGGCGTGACGGGCATTGAAGTGAAGGACACCGTAGCCACGCTCTCTGGCCGAAATGCGATCGGGCGCATGGGAACGCCCGGCACATAAATGCCTGCGATCCGGTCCAGCATTTTTTTGGACCCCACCGCAGGCATTTATGTGCCATGCGTTGCTGTGCGGCCGATCGCATTGTGGCCGGAGGGCGTGGCTACGGTGCCAATCGCTTAAATGGACCGTCCCGCCCCACAACATAGTGAGCCACCCGCAAAGCGATCCAGTGCGTTTCCAGACACAATTGGGCTGGAATGCACTGAGGATGGTGTGAATGAGGCCCTTATGGGGTTGTACCAATCGTATAACAGGTTTTGGAAAAATGCCAAGAAGTTGTTTTGTATGTGCTTTCTTTACTCCGAATTATAAAAATAAAATTAAAAATATAAAGTGACTATTTCAAAGTCAGTCGATTTGCTCCATACAATTTACAACCCATTTTTTAAAACGACCGTAAGCTTCCAACACATCTGATCCCTTTAATTTTCCATTTTAATGATGCAAAATTGTTAAAAGCAATTGAAATGGAATATCAAAATTATCATTTAAGTACAAAGTACAGTTGGATGGATACAAGTATGGCTTGCACAAAGTAGAGACATTTCTAAATGAATAAACCCACAGTGGTCATAGTCTGCAAGACCACCATTAAGGTCATTGGGATCTATACAGTAGTTACTCAGAACTCATTTGCAAAGATGCCAAAAGATAGCGTGACCTTTGCCTATTTATAGATTTTTGGTTGGGGTACAACATAGGATTATAAAGTGGATGTATTACATGGTGATGTTTGTATTGAATAGCACTAAAATGAATTTTGGATTTTCCTTTATAGCCTCGCCTTATCCTTCACTTAATGTATCTTATCCATCGCTACATTCTCCTCCTGATTGGATATAATACACAGAAAATGACCATGTTAGCCTGAGCATCTGTTTAAACTGAGATCTGAATTACAGATGGAAAGATTATCCGGCTTCTCATTTCCTTCATCTTCAATATCACTGATCAGCTCTGGTTAGAAAGTCTTTGCAGCGATTTTCTGCTCATCAATCAAACTTAACCTTGAAATTTCTGGTACAATTTGCCATGTAACACTCACCATGTACGCATGGCTTGTGGTTAGACTGACTTGGTCTTGAGGTCTATTTCTCTCCATTTTTGTCTACTTTCTCAATGCTCGTGCTAGGGTGATGCTCCATTCTACCATCACTGGTTTATCAGTTGGTACATTTTGGGAACCTTTTTTTTTCCTTAATCCATAGTACATTTTTTTCCTGTAAACTCATTTTTTTTTTCCTTTCTAAACAAATAGCAGGACTTCTCTGCCTAATTTATCCTGACAATGCCATCTCTCCAGTCTATCATCCCTGAGGAAGAGGGAACTACACTCCAGAAATACTTTGGCTTAGTCTTTTATCATATATTTATCCTTCAAATATTAAGAACTCCAGTCCAAAGTCACCGCATTGCCTCTGTTCGTCCTCGCGTTATCTCATATGAAAGGGCAGTCTTTTCACAGATCAAGAAGCCTACCATCTGAACCTCCTAAACATGAGCCTCAAGGTCATGTTCTATGTATTCGCTATTTGTATGCTGCTTAAAATCCAACAATGGCTCGCTTTTCCAGTCCATTTGAAATGGAAAGGATTTTTTTGGTAATCTCTGTAGATGGATGAATCCCTTTGTCCTGGTGTTCTGTAATGAATATTGCTATGCTAAGTTTTGTAAGTTAAAATATATAATTTATAATACATATGGACTAAAAGCAAAGACATTCTGGATGCAAAATGTTTTTATATTCCTTTTGGACATTTTCAACAATGTGTGTATTGTTTTGATGGTTGATCTTTGGTTCATGCATATACTTTTGTCAGTGACTACATAGTAGTGGATTGTCTTTTTACATTTGAATAAATACATTTTAAAATAATGTACTCCAGTACAAAACTGCTGTATTGATAATCAGAGTGATTTTACCATTTTAATCTCTAAATTCAGTAATTTCTGTTAGCCATTCACATTACAATTGATTGTAAAATTGCTTTTAAATGTACCAACTGTGTAATACAAGGATCTACCTGAGCAATCCATACAATTTGCCTCCAGTCAGGCAGGCCCTTGCACTACATAGGTGTTGGAAGGTCTGAAAGTGCATGGCCAGGTTTAGTGCTGCATAGAGACCTCATTTTTACTTTACATTGGTGCCATTGACTGTCTAGGGATTACTTTTACTGATGTTGGGGTGGGGTGTTAATTTGTCCTTACACTTTTTAAAATTCTGCTCACTCCTGCTGACTTTGCCAAAATTCAAGCTATGTGTGGCCCTGCTGACGCCACCCGTCTCGACAAAAGTCGATTATTAAATTGACTTTTGTCAGAGTCAGATAGAAAATTGTTGGCCAGGGACATGCAGCTGATTTTTAGTTTGAGTATTATGAGGACAGGCGCTGGCGGTCAGAATACAATAGCTTGGCAGGGGATAGTATAAATATTGGCATTTTGTTTGGGTGGTGGTGGGGGGGATTAGAACCCCTTTTGAAATTGCATTGCTGTTGTCCGGCTGAGGTGATTCACCCACTCTACTTGACCTAGTGACCCTACAAACAAAGTGATGGGAAATGTTTATGGCTTTTTCCAGAACAGGATGTGAGAGAATCTTCCAATGGGGACACATTTTTTTTTTACTAGACATTCACTTTAACATTTGAAAAGACATTCCATATACAGATTCAAAATTGTATTGGAGAATAGCAGGAAGTATGAGATTATAGATTTAACTAATGAATGACTTGAGGACAGACCTCCATCCCCCCTCCTCCGATGTGAATTAGTTAACACAGGTTGCCAACAAGTATACAGACAGTGCTGTTCTTTCTTATGGGCATCCTCTGCAAAATAATTAGAAGTAAATAAGAGGATAGTAAATTATAGTGTGTATTATTATTATTATTATTATACAGAATGTATATAGCGCCAACAGTTTGCACAGCACTTTACAATATAAGGAAGACATTACAATACAATTCAAGACAAGATGGTAAGGAGGGCCCTGCCCCTGAGGGCCCAAAATCTAAAAGTAAACCTTCATAAAACCTTGTTTTTAAATGAAATTGTGAAAACCCAATTATATTTTATTTAAAACAATAAGTCATCAGAACAGGAAGAGATGGGAAATCTTATTTCCCTCTCTTTGGAGGGATTTCCTCTCACTTCCTCTTGTGGCTACCAGACAGGAAGTGAAGGGATATCTCCACAATGGGACATAGATGACAAAAAAAAGCTGACAAGGGTTTAAACCCTTCCTGACTCTGTCCAAAACTTGAAGAAAAAAAACAACATGTGACTGTGGGAAATTTCAGTGCGATGATTGTTAAGAGCCAGGCATACATTTTGGTATTCATCAGAAAGCTGCATCCTTTCACGTGAACAACTGCTATCATTTTACCATTCCACCATTCTGTCTGCTCGGCATTTTAAGCTTTTGAGGATAGGGGGATGTTTCCTTCTCATTCAAAAAAAAGTAATGGGCTTCTTCTGTAACAGCAGGGCCAAATACAACTGGATAAGTGGATTTTCACCAGATTATACCCGCTGAACTACTTAGTGATATATATTTTTTTATTTTTTTTATGCAGTGAAAGGATTTGGTACATTAAGGAAAGTTGGTGCTTGAGTAGATGTGTCCTCTGTTTATTCAAACACTGCTTGCCAATGTTTTTATTCATAGGGGAAATGGGAGTTGTGTTGCCAATACTTCATTGGCTATTTGGACAGCGTAAATTTCTTACAAGCCTTTCTATAGTGAGACATTTCTTTAATTTATTAAATATTTACAATCATGTCTGCAAACAACTATTTTCAATCTTTCAGTCTTTTTTATTTTTGTATTTTTCCTCGTTATGTGACCAGACAATGTATTTTCCACAGGTTCGCCTGTGCATGCCACCAATAACCATGTGCATCAGGCAACATCCAACAGCTTATCCTCAGTACTAGCAAAAAGCAATTTTGTAGCAGTGAACCAGAATTCTCTAATTAACACGGATCTGCCCAGGAAAGAATCACTAAAGGCAATTTTACAGGATATTTCCATACAAAGTAAGTGCATATAGTCTTCTTTTTTTTCCCCTATTGTGCAGGTTTTTTATGTTTTGTTTAAATAGGTCAAGTTACATATTTGATTCCTGCTAAGTATGTTGTTTAATTTCTGTAATGCAACTTCAATGCCGCTACATGAGTACATAATAGCTTGCAGTTCTAATATTGTTTTATTTAAAAGCTCCCTTAGTGCATCATCATTAAGGCCTCATTCACACTACCGCGCTTATACGCGCGTATTGTACCATATACAACACATGCAAATAAATGGCTCCATACAAATAGCACACAATGCCGCGTATGGAGCCGTATATTTGCCGTATATTTGCGTAGCGTATATATGTGCAAAAACAGAGATGCGTCTGAGCAGCGTATTGCTGCGTATTTACGCGCATATACGCACATCACATTAAAAATTCCATTACGAGTGATGCATTCTGGGATTGCATATAGTGCACGCATATGCGTATAAATACGCAATATACAATTTTGCTCTTGCGCTGTGTGTGAATGAGGCCTACGAGTCTAACAGGTTAAATAAGAAAACCTAAAGGGAAGCAAATGGCAACAGATGCTTATTTTACTATCTAAAGTTTTTGGAGAATTGTCATGTAAAATGTCTGTATTTAAACTGATAAACGTGCTAAAATACTTGCCTTATAAATGTTCCATTCAATTATTTTGTGTTTACTGTATGTTATCTACATTTTTTTAATATAGTTTTAAATTTTAACAAACAAAAAATATTTTATTAAGATAATATAGGGGTATGTTATGAGCTCAGAGAGCAGGCATGTCTGAGGTGCTTTCTTAAAAGTGGAACTCCAACCAAACAACTAAATATCCTGGTAAAATACATGGATACCTAATTTTGGCCCTTACTTGTGACACTCACACATGTGCTGATCAATAAGATCACTCTGCTACTTCCTGGTTTAGGATTTCTTCCTAGACCACCTCACTGACCACAGCTAATGATGTTGATTCATTGTCCGCTGAAAGGACTGAAGGTGAATAGGTGTCGGGAAGCTCAATTGCTGAAACAGGAAGTTGAAGGTGAATAGGTGTCGGGAAGCTCAATTGCTGAAACAGGAAGTTGAATTGTTCAAATGTGCCATTTGTCAAACTGTGCAATGTGAAATATATGTGCAATTCAGAAGACCGGCTATGTTTTTATTAGATAAAGCAGAAAACATGTATTTATTTTAGCAGTGTATTTAGCTTTCACCTGATTGTCAAATGTTCATTTGTTTTGTTTTGATACATGACCCTACCTGCATAATTATCTAATTGGAAATAGTATGTTAGTATTTCTTTCTAGAAACCAATTTTAATAATTGGTAATGAGCCCACTCTTCCACCAGGAGTGGCAACTATCTGGTGGGACAGATGCTGAAGTAACACAGTGAGCAGGGACACAATTCATGTCAAGTTGTTCCCAGCAGATAACTGCAGAATCCAGGCACACAGAGTTCCAGTACAGTCCAAAGCACAGGAGTGATCTGGCCTAGTGCAGACAGAAGTTTAAACAGAGACTATGGACCAGGAACAGTCTAAATGTCCATCATTATATTTAGTCATGCCTAAATGAGGCAGGGGTGCATTGCAGCATGACCTAAGATAAAGTGTTGCTTTACAACTAGCAGGCGGTGATGGCTCATGGCAGATTGTTACAGCAGGTAAAATTGCCCCGCAATGTTCAAGTTATATGTATTATAAAAACTGGGCTTTGCAGCATTATAAGTATATTGGCAAAAATAGGTTACTGTTAAATGTATGGTAATTATGAGAGAATTATTTTTATCCCATGTATAAATTTGTATAAAGACCCTCATTTAACTAAATTGGAGAACACTGAGGGGCAAAATGTCTTAGTAATTGGGCCCTTTTAAGGCCTTAGCTGGGTATCTGGAAATCACCTGAAGTGTGGCTAGAACAGTTTACCTCATAGAGGTGTAAATAGGAAGCAAACTGCTATCAGAAGTTGTATTTCTGGCCACTGTCAAGCTTGTACAGTTGGCACTGGTATCTTTTGAAGTGCCTTAACCAAAAGCCCTAAACATAAAGATGGATAAGTGTTGTATTGCAGCATACAGTTGCTGATTTTAATTGTGTATTTTAATGTATTTAATACTCTTCTAGTGAGCTACAAAAAAATCCTCTTTATGTAATGGAGATTAGGAAAAGGAAAGGTGTTTTGTAGTCCAATCAGGAGAGCAGCCTAGGGTGATAATGGTACCCCAATCCACATACCATGTGTTAACGTGCATTGCTCTAACTGCTGTTGCTGTTAACATGTGTTACTGCAATGCAACCTATTGCAAAGGTCAGTTTCAGCCCTTGAATGTAAATAGTACTTCTATTGAAAATCCAGTTAGATAAAAATCTGAGCTAAAACTCGTGTTAGTAATATAAACAATAATCAGTGGCCACTGTATGGCACTAAGTGGTGCCGGGTAGCTTAAGGAAAGATTGTTTTTTTTTATATGGTTTCTCTTAGTGACAGGTGTGCTTTAAACATGTTTTTTTGGGAGATTTCTACAAATTTAGATTACTGGAAGTGTTAATTCTGTTTAGAGAATGCTATTTAAAATAAAGGGTATATATATGACTTGGGACTAGGCAGAGGTGTAATAAACGTGCGTGCATGTCGGTTAATGTTTAGTTTAAAAAAAAAAAAAGATGCCATTTTCTTTATGCTTCAAGCAGAACCCCAGTCTGATCTAATATAAATCATCCTTGTCTTTTTATTTTGCTCTAAACTGGCACATTGGAGGAGTCTGGTGGAGCCAGCACATCACTGGACTAACGCCCACTAACAATCTTTCTCATCCACATGAAACTGGCTCTATGGAAGTTGTGTGCACCACATAGGAATGGTGTGATTGACACCCCTGAAGCCTTGGGGGTGTGCCACAGTTTCAGGCCATCAGTGGGGTTTGTGGGAGACCAGTCATCTGCGGACAGATTGCTCCTGCTACTATGCTCTTTAATTAAAGTTTGGATGCACACAGTAGGGAGGGGAAGGGGACAAAGATACAGAGCATCACAAGTTTCTACCAAGTAACAGGTGGAGGGAGATGGGACAGAAACGGGTGAAGCTGGAGTTCTTCTTTAATAAAAAAATAATCTATGTAGCTGTTCACTAGTCCTGTGCATGGAAGTGAGCCGTTCGTGTTTTGAGTTTTACCGGTTATGTACTGTATATAGTAGGGTTGCACAGATACCAAGTAAAGTACTCGGTACATGTACCGATACTTTTGAGCTCCAAGACTAGACTAGAAAAATTTTTAAAAAGTTAGGAGGCAGCTGTCATTTGTAAGGAGCACACGGAGCTCCTGGGATTTGTACATCTCTGTTTTAATGTACGATTTTTTTAAATAAATATAAATAAAGGGATGCACAGATACCAGTTCTGGGAGTACTGATACTTGCCGAGTACTTACAAGTACTTAAAGTACTGATACGTGTGTGTGTGTGTATATATATATCAGGGGTGTGGACATTTTTGAAAAAACTACTTGTCCAAGGGCTAAAGCGGGGGCCAAATCTACTTGTCCTTCATGACACTCTACTTGTCCTGATACAAAAAAAAAATCGTTTTAATTAAAACTAGGGATGCACCAATACCTCTTTTTGGGTGTAGAGTACGAGTACCGATATATTTTGCTTTCGGTACTCACCGAATATCGGTGCTTCCGTTTGCATGGAGCAGGCTTCCCGGGCAATCAGGAAGCCGGGCAGCGGGTAATGAGATGCTACCCGGCTTCCTGACTGCCAGGGAAGCCGACTCCATGTTGTTTGGCCGGCTTGATTGTGAATGGCTTGGAAGCCGGTTTCCCGGCCAATCAGCATCGAGCCAGCTTCCTGGCCAATCAGGAAACCCAGCGGCGAGTAATTACCTGATTGGCCAGGAAGCCGGCTCGATGCTGATTGGCTGGGAAGGTCATTAGTCGCTGCCCCGCTTCCTGATTGCACGGGAAGCTGGCACCATGTTCCCCTACGGCACTGCCGGTCAGAGGAAATCTTCCTCTGACCAGAAGTTCCGGTATTGGAGAAGATGGAGCATTTGGGCGAGTACAAGTACTTGCCCAAATACTCTGTATCTGTGCATCCCTAATCAAAACTGTATTGGTCTGTGCTAAATAGCGCTTCTCATTGGTCAGCGTGGTCCCCAGACCACGCTGACCAATGAGTGCTTGCAATTTGCGAGCGAAATTCAAAATGCATAGGGCAGGACTGCGATGCACAGTACGGGGTAAGGACAGTACACCTGTACCGGCGGAGGGTAAGGACTGTTTGCCGAAAGGTAAGTATAGCCGAAGGGTGGGGGTTTTTTGAGAGAGACGGGGGCCAGATTTGATCGGGTAAATCCATTTTCCCATATTACCTGGGAAAGTGAACTTGCCCTTTAATGCACATTGTGCGTGTGAGAGAGTTCTGCTGCCTCGCTACCACAATATGGCACAGTGAAATGGTGGCAGCACTCAACGCGCACACACACAATGTCCTATGTGTGCGTTTATTTGCATGCAGATGGCAGGTGCATCGGGGTTGGTTTTCATTTTTTTAATTTTATTTTTTACATTGTCCCTTTTTTTAAAAATATAATTATTTTTTACAACTTTTTTTTTTTTTAATTTTTTACCCCCACCTAATTTTATTCGTATCACATGGGGATTTAAAATCCTCTAAGTGATAGCTTGGAGGTGACAGGTTCTCTTTATGGAACCTGCCCTCCAACACAGAACTGATGTTCTGTGTAGTTCCTGACAGCTGAGACAGGTGGCGCTGTGATCACAGCGCCCCGGTCTCAGTGATAACACAGAGCAGACGAAAAACTGAAGTTTTCCGTCTGCTCTGCGGGCTCTACGGTGAGCTCATGTTCCGTGGTCTTGGGTCCGCCAGAGGAGAGGGGGATCCCGAAAACCACGGGGGGGGCGGTGTGGACAGAATCGCTTCTCGTTTCATTCAAGTGACACTGTACATTTAGCTCTGCTTGTCCGGAGCGGGGCTAAGTGTACAAAAAAACTACTCGCCCGGCGCCCGAAACTCATGTCCCGGGCGTCAGGCGATAGGAATTCCACACCCCTGATTATATTTATATATATATACACATATACAATAGTGCTGATAGCAGTGTACTTTCCATGTCAGTATTGGGATTTTACCACGGTGGTTTATATATATAAAACATGTCCCGGGCGTCGGGCGATAGGAATTAGGGCGTAGGAATTCCTACTCGCCCGGCGCCCGAAACTCATGTCCCAGTTTGCCAGTTTCGATCGGGTCATTCAATTTTCCCAAATTACCTGCCCCTATGTGATAGTTTGGAAGTGACGGGTTCTCTTTATGGAACCTGCCTTCCAACACAGAACAGATCTTTTGTGCAGTTTCTGACAGCTGAGACAGGTAGCAGTGTTTTGACAGCGATTCTGTCTCAATGATCACAGAGAACGGACGTTCTTCGCTCTGTTCTCCGCTCTCCATCCTGAGCTTATTTGCTATGGTCTGGGGTACCCAAAAAACCATGGCGGGCATGGAGTGGACAGACCACATCAGGCTGATGCAAATGAGCTGATCAGATCACTTGTATAAAATGTGCAGCGGCTCCCCCGCTGTGCATTTAGCTCTGGGTGCCCGAAGCAGGGCTAATGTACAAAAAACTACCTGCCCGGCACCCAGAACTGCATGTCCCGGGCATCGGGCAATAGGAATTCCAGACCTCTGATAATACAGTCTGTGTTTTAGTGTAAAGATATATATTAGTGTATTGAGCAATTAAACTTTATATCAATTATTTTATTTTTTTGCTGTTTTACAAATGCATGACCAGTGTTCATTATCAATTACATTTACATTTTAAAATCTTAAAAGCTCTGCTTTAAATTGCTCCTCTTTTCCCTTTGCTATGATCTGATGTAAAGCAAATAACATTGAGTTTTAAAGTATTTGTGAAATTGTATTATTTATTTTGTATATGTTTCTAATTTTGTACTCCTGTGCCTTTTTTTTGTTTGTTAGAGGACTGCCTTTCGCATTCATTGAATGGCGTTTCTAAAATCAAAGACTCCCTCTTAACTAATTGTGATCAATTACAACAGTCAACAGAAGACTGGCCAGATTGGAGTGAATCAGATGGGTACAAAAATGAAAAGATTCTAAGTGTACATGATAATACACAAACCAGTGACAGATCAGAATTGGAGCAATGGATTGATTTTAGCTTGCCATGTGATAGTTCAATAACTGTGACAACTAAAGAATTAAGTGCTGCTAACACAATCGTTAAACTGTCTCCTGTTAACCCTGTTTCTGAACTGGACAAAAGTGTAAATAGCTGGAATTCACATACTGTGAAACAGAATAAGGAATCTAAGCCAGATCCTGTGCCAGAACCAGTCCCAAAAAATAAGTTTGAGTCTGAGTACAGTTTGGGAGATGAATTCACGATAAAAGTAACAAGCAAAAGCAGAGATCCAGAACTGGACTGGTTTGCAGACATGACGCCCAACATAAATCTTTCTTCTGCCTTCTCTGCTTCTGGATACCATGAATTTGAAAATAAAACACAGACTGATCTAATAAAAGATGCAAAACAAACCGCTACATTCTCATCCAAATTTGCTGCTGCAGAAAATACAGAGGTAAGAAAGAGCTACTCCAAATAGGTTTAAAGCTGAACTCCAGCTTCATGTTTTTCACTTCAACTACATCCCTTGTGCAGTGGCTGGAAACAGTTGCTCACGTAAGAGTGATTATTGCCTGCTACTATGGCAGCCACTCCTGTTTCGAGCTGCATGGCACCCTGGGTAAAATAAACCATTCGCCAGTCACCTGGCTATGAAACTGAAATTTAAAAATGTTCCCTGTAGACCTCGGAGCTATAGTGTAGTGGGTGTTGTCATCACATCCCTGGAATAGTCAGTGTATAAATGTCAGGGGTGTAAGTATTAGCGATGAACTCCCTTTAGAAATGCCCATAAACGGTCCCTCACCCATCCATGAAACAAAGGCAAATATAATAGTGCTGATTATGTTGCGCTCAGTCTAAATGTGCATAAATTTACTCTCAAATTGATAGTCACCTCATAGCAATGCCACTTTGCCAATACAGACAAAAAAATAAATTGTGTGATATAATAGCTGTGCAGCAATCTATGAACTTGTGTCCCAATTCTGTGTCATTAGCACTGATATTGTATCAGGTCACTTTAGGAGAGCACGGACGGACACAGTGCATTTATTAGCGCTGATATTTATCATGTCACTTTAGGAGAGCAATTTGTTCTTACACTTGATATATGGTTTGGAATATTGGAAACACTATGGAAATGTTTAATAATTAAATAAGGAGATTAAGGTTTCACATATTGGCACCTAACCATGGTTGTATAAACTAACAGAGTTTTTTATGTTACACAGAATTGGGACACATAAGTTCATAGATTGCTGCACAGCTATTATATCACACAATTTAAATTTCTATCTGTATTAGCTTTGTGGTGAGTCTATCACAGCAACGCAGCGGCTATTTCGTCAAGAATTCAATGTTGAAATCAATGTTGGTTCACATGAAGCCGTTCCCAGTCCCAACACGGCCCTCAGGTTTGTTGAAAATTTCAGAACAACCGGAAACATATAAACAAGAAACCACTGGGCCCCGCCCGCACTGCAAGGACGCCGGAAAACATTGTACGCGTGAGAGGCACTGGTTAGGAGCCCGGGGCGGTCTGCTCGAAGACATGCAAGTGAGTTAGGGTTGAGTCATGAATCGGTGAGAACCAAGATCACGTGCTTTCGCACAGCAAAGTCTTTTTGTTGCTCGCAATCTCTCACATTAAGCTGTTGAACATCCTGCATTTTGTATGGATGGAATCTTAAATCTCTGTAAAATGGTTCTTACTGATTCACGACTCAACCCTAACTCGCATGTCTTCGAGCAGACCGTCCTGGGCTCCTAAGCAGTGCCTCTCTCACCCTTGCAATGTTTTCCGGCGTCCTTGCAGTGCGGGCGGGGCCTGCTGGTTTCTTCATAATGTTTCCGGTTGTTCTGAAATGTTCAACCCACCCGAGGACCGTGTTGCGACTGGGAATGGCCCCGTGTCGACCAACATTGAATTCTCGATGAAATAGCCACTGTGTTGCTGTGATAGACTTATCACTTCGAACAAAGCTGTCGTAAGCAAACAATGTTGTAATGTCCACTGCTTTATTCTGACTGAATTGGCATTCCAGTGGGGGGGAAAGACGCATAGCTCGTCCCCCTCCCATCACCACTTCCTGTGTACTACCTGTTCTAATAACGTCTGACTCCCATCAGTCACTGTACAATAGAGGCAAAAGGAAAATATCAACTGACAACACTAGACAAATATAGGGGAAAATATATAGCGGGGAGTAGAGAAGGGGTCCATTATTAAATGTGCCCTGTATAAAGAGACTTAAAAATTAAGTTGTATTGTGCACTTGCACAGCAATTGTCAAATATAAATCTTTAAACTACATAACGGGGCCAAATATAACTCAAATAAAAATTTACAAAATAAATATATACACACATACATGTATTCATATTGTTATGTTCTAGGCCAGCGATAAGTTGCTCGAATAGTGGTATAACAAACCAGGCTGTTTTTACATATTTTGCGTTTGCTTCCATCTGCTAAAGACTGATAAAGTTTATGAACTCAGTTTCCCAAATCATGGACCATAGGGTCATATGCAGCTCCATTGGGCAGGACAGAGGCCTTCCCCATATCCACAGGGACCTCCATGTCAACTCTGGACTTTCTATCGATTTTTGTGCCCAGCAGTGAAGGGAAGTAGTCTCTTCAGACCTGCTATTGATACTGTCATTAGGGATTGGGTTTGATATGTGTACCAATCTGGGGTTATAGTTCACCATCGCCCCTGCCTCTCCTGTAACTATTTCCGAGCACCCCACGTCCCTCAGCCAGTCTGGCTTACTTTAGGGTTGGTACCCCTGGGTTGTTACCGGTCTGAGGCAGGTCTTTTTGGCCACGCTTTGGAATATTGAACCTTGAGGCCTCTTGCCTTTCCTTGGATATCTTGGGCAAGATGGGTTGTTTGGCTAGGCAACATCATTCTTCTCCTGGTATCTCCCTCCCTGAATCCCAGTGTGGAAATGTAAGGCTTTGGCCCATTTAGTTTGTAGACCAGTTAGTCTCGTCTGTTGGTGTCCACGGTTTCATCTGAGTTCCTGTTCTCTTCAGGGGTTTCAACACAAAGTTATTTTTTGTTGACTGTTATATTGTTAGTCTGTTTTTACTTGTCAGGTAGTTGCCATCCTCCATCTGTTTTGGTTGTGTTTTTGTTTAGTTTCTTGCTGATGCAGGATTTGTGTTCCTATAGGTGGAGAAATTCCCCTTGGTTGCCATCAAATTGATCGCAGTGAATGACCAGCACACACAAAATGCAGTTTTAATTCTCCATTGATATGTTTATTAAAGAATGTCACATCTTGTCATCTGAGGCTAACGTTTTGGGACGTCGCAGGGACTCTATCTTGATCTATCTTGTCCTGGTGAGAGCACCAGGTTGATCCTTTGCCTGCTGCGGTTGTTGGCAGACTCTCCTTCCTTCCAGGGGATGTCCTCTTTTCCTGGTTCAGAATCAAACATTGGTTCTGTGTTGCAGGCTGTTCCTGGTCCATTCTTGGCCTTGTCACTGACTTCAGCTGGGCTGCTTTTGGACATCCTAACTGAGTTCCTGTGTCCCTCAATGGACAATGGAGAACATAACATTTTTGTATGAGGGGTAAAATCTGTTTCTTTGAGTCCATTGAGGACACGGGTTCTGCCCCACTGGGTTTTTGTTATTGGCCGTGTGTACTGCTTGCTCATAAAACTGAGGCACGCTGGATAGCTTACAACCTTTTAATTTTTGCAAATGTCCCAACCTCCTGTATAACTCAACTGTTTCTGTATTCCCTGCATCCCTCAATTGACTTGAAGGAATAGATTTTATGGTATGCACAAAAAAAACAAAACAAAAACCCCTCACACCGTATAACCTTCTAAATTTACGTGTGGGGTCTTGAACACTTAGGTGTACGTTTAATAAACTGTGATAAAACTAGCTTTATCACAAGTTAACTTTACTCAGCAGATCTCTTTGTTTTTCTCGGCTGCACAGAGGCTGTTTAATAACCTGCGAAAAGAAAACTTATCTCACGTAACAGCTGTGAAAGGCTGAGATAAGTTATCTCAGTGATCAGTTGAGAAAGCAATGTGGGGAATGTATTCTGAGCTGCACAATGACATCCTTTGTGATAATCTGCAATCCTCCTGACAGGATTGTAGTTTAATCTGCCAAACCAGCCATTAACAATATTACAAAGCACCGCTATAGCAAAGTGCAACAGTTATTTCACCGTTAAAATCAAGAAAATTGCAAAAAAACAGGATTTACATGTTCTGATTTGTTCAGCATGTACCAGTACAAAACCATGAATTAAACTACCAGAGGCAGCCACAATGCGAGGCAGTGATGGGGTTAAACATTCTAAAGGGGCACTCTGATGGAGCCTAGCAATGTAAGTGGGCACTCTGACACATGCTGGAAATTAGAATGTTTGGCGTCCATGAAAAAAGCCTGCTGTCCCGAGATAGGTGCATCAGCACTGTGTGTGTGCAAACACACTAGCAGCAGGTATTAATGCATCATAAACGGCGGACCATGGTGGCGAAATGGTGTTACAGACTGTTATGTGTGGAGTGCAATGTTCACTGCATCTGCCTCAAAAACATACTCCCCAGACATCCTTCAAGCTTTATTTGGTGGGCCTGTTTCTGAGGGAGACTGAGCCTTCAACAACAAGCCCTAAGGTCACATGGCCTTACTGAACTTTCCCTCACACTACACAGATACAGTGAGGGGACTTGAAACTGCCACTGTCACTCTCATGAGGGAAGGGTGGCATTAAGACAGACTTCCCTTCTGCTCCCTCTCAAGGCTGTGACACACTGCAGGCGAAGCGAAGCAAAGGGGAAAAAAACCCAACCTTCCACTTCGCACCACACCGCAGCTTGGCTACACTGTAGTTTGTCCAGCACAGCGGAGCTCGGGATCGCCAGCGGCAACGGGGGGGGGGGGGGCGCACAAACGCACGCATATTACAAGTGATCGACGTCTGAACGCTTGTATGTAAACAGCCATCGCTGGCTGTTTACATTGAAAGCCAATTTCCCGTTCGTAAGCACGGCCTAGAGGCGGCCACGAACAGCGGGCACGAGCGGGGTGGGTTAGGACATTTAAAAACGC